CTGTCACCAAATGGGTCTGGGAACAGCTTGGAAGCAGCAGTGGCGTAGTATCTTGCTTTTCCCTGTGCAAGTCTTCAGCCTCGCTGGTGCAGAGAGATGCCTTTCTTAGGTTCACCAAGAAATTATATTTTGGAAAGGCAAGAGGAGGTTTTGTCAGTAGTTGTCATAGAGCATATGGCAATATCATGCTCAGTGATTAAGATGGAGAACAAAATCAAGTGTTGGTCCAAACATAGATTTTTCCACTTGGGAAAAACATTGGTATTTCTGAACAGCTCTTTTATGCCAATGTCCAATTTTAGGGCTTTGGGAAAGTATGTTAGAAAATGAATCTTGTATTAGTGTGAGCAGTTTTGATAAGCCTTCCTAGATTTTCAGCCCACTGAATAGAAGAAACAATATTGTTTTAATTCCCTGTAATACGAAATTTTTAAAATCTTAATTGTAAAATGGAGACACTACAATATAAAGTTCAGGCACTCAGATAAAATGTCCTACATGGGGGCATCTGCAATTTCAGAAGTGACTGAAATAAAAGCAAAAAACATTCCTAAAAGCTTTGACATGTGATAAGATGACAATTACTTCATTAATGACATACAATCAGTGTAAAATTATCATAAGTAGTATAAATTAGGAAGCAAATGTGTAATAAATTCTTAAAGAAAGAAACACTTCTCAGAATGTTGGAATTCCGTGGAAATAAGTTTTAAGAAGTCCAAGTAGATGAAAAAAAAATGCTAGACCACAGTATATTACAATAGGAGGTTTGAAAATGCTACTTGAAATACTATATGGTCAATAGCAGTTCATTCTTCATACTGCTCAGCTGTCTGGGGTGTCTTGCTCTTTTACCACTGTAAATCGCATTAACTGCAAATCTTGCTACTTAATAAATTGTTTTTAAATTCTGGTGCATCTGTTAGCTTGGGAGCAGACTGTACTGAGACTGGTCTCTAGGCGACTTTAATTATGTTTTTCATTCACATGATGGAAATTCTCAGCCATCAGATGCCACCTGCTATCATTTTTATTTCCACTCTTGTGAACTCTTGCTCAGGGCATCAAAGGGAACATTAGCTGTTGTACTTGTAAGGTGCATTGTATTAAACGCTCTGCTGTTGTATTGCATTTGCAAAGCCAGAACCAAGCTCCCAAAGCATGCTCTCGATTGCCCTTTGGTCAGTAATAACAGTCAGAAGCCTTTTTTCTGGAGAACCAGTACAATTATGACTTCAAGACACTGGAAAATAAATTTTCAACACAACTCTCTGATTCTTGAAGTTTTTGCTCATTTTTCTGCTCTCTTCTCTTTTTCTTCTCCAAATTTTAACTACAAAACAAATCAAATTCCTAAGTGAAAATAAATGGTAAGGGCAAAACTATGATGCAAGTCTTATTAGAAACATTCTTCTGTGAGTCAGCTGGTAAGGCTATGGTCATGTTGTGTGAGGCATCTTCACCGTACAACTTATTTTCTGTGTGTCTATGTAGATCATTAGCACATCAGTGAGGTTTGAGTAAGTCCATTCTAGTATGTGACCATTAGCTAAAAGATGGAGAAGGTGGATGGTCAGAGCTAGCTGATGTTTAAGATGAGAATTCCTTCTTTAGTATATGCTTAACATTTTAAATTTCTCTTCAGTTTTTGATTCATTGAATCGTGTCTTTCAGAGGCATCTAGTGGATGCTAAAATTAGTTTCTGTTTGTAAATTTGATATTACCATAATGTTCTTTGGTAAGCTTCCAGAGAGAAATGCTGTTTTAGTTACAAGATACAAAATAATGCTTCCAACAATAAAAGTGGTTTTAGACAACTATTTTAAACAATGCATCATTAGCAGAACTATCAATAGAATGTCTCTGAAATATTAATTTATCTGAGTAACACTTTCAATATAAGAATTTTCTATATGCTTGTATATATTTGAGTGAGAGATTTCTAGGAAGAAAAAGCACAGAGAAGCCTTTCAAGAGAGTACAATTTGAGACCCATGTATTTCTCAGAACTTCTTTTTATGTATAATAATTTTAGGTTGTATGGAGCTGCTGGAGATCTGTTGTTCTCATATGTACAATGTACATTGTGTTATAAATCCATTGCTAAAAAAGATGTAAAAGTTTTGTGAACCCCAGATCTAGAATTCACTTCAGAGCAATGTTTGAAATATTCTGCTCTGGAAGTTTGTTTAAACTCAAACAACTAGAGCACTGGGGCATCCTTGTCTAATGGCTTATTACCAACCTCGGGACTCGCTGGCATGAAAAGCAATATATAAGCTTAAAGGGATATTTTTTCTTGCCCCATGTGTAGTTTAGATGTCATTTGCAGTTACTCTGTACTGCTAGTTTACTTCAAAAGAATGCTGATCGAGGCCTGAGGAAAAGATCGGGCTATGTGCTAAAAGAGGTGAAAGAATAAAGTACTGCTTTGCTGTTTCACTGAGATACATCTGTGCTGACTGCCAGATGCTCGTTCCTAGTTTGAATTCAAAACTGATCCTTTTAGTCTGCACAGATAAGAACAAAGTCAGATCATGTTTGTTTACATATTTGGTGCTTTTTAACAAAATAACAAAAAAAAGTTTTAGTGTACTATAATCTTTTAAAAGGGCTGGTAAAAGAAAAACCTGTTCATTCACCAGGGAAGAGGGGACCCTGTACAACCATGCTTGCTTTTTGAGAATACAGATTAGAATACAACTGTCTTCAAATGTCTCCTGAGAATAACTGTAAAAAGAAAAGTGTGCTTCACCATCCTCCACAGCTGACGAATTATTTTGTTAGCTGTGGTTCTCAGTCTGTTAAATTCTGTGGCTAGGGTTGTGTGAGGTATCCAAAAACTTTGGATTGCTCAGTGTTTGGGTGGTGTAAATAAACCCCCTAAGAGGATCTGAATATCAGACATTTCCTCAGTAACTTCTAAACAGTTGACTGCTTCAGTTTCAGTACCCAATTTCCAGAAGCATGAGATTTCAAAGTATTATCTCCTATAGTAAGTTTACTGAAGTGTTTTTTTATTGCTTTATATTGTTGTGGAAGTGGGGTTTTCATGGAAAATAAACCCCAATCCCTGTTATTGGATATCTACTAACTCTGTCACCGATACCAAGGACAGTCACACTGCTTTTAACTGCATTGTTGGTCAAGGCTGCTAGAAAGCCCAGACCGATGTTCATGTGTTATATGGGGCCTAATGAAGTAAAGTGGCTCCCAGGAAGTGCGGGTGCCATTCTCATGCCATATACTCATCTTCCTGTTGCCAGACTTCAGATGTAAAGTTCTAAAGATAAAATAGCCCAAAGCTCTGGAGATTATACTTCCTAGGCTGATTGGCAAAGATGTGTTTAGGATGATGTTCATATATTGCCTAACACTGGTATTTTTTGAAAAAAGTTAATTTTTTCTGGAAATTCCTCTTCTTACTTAACCCCAAAAAAACAGACCCACCAAGAGGCTAGAGAACTTGTTGTTATTTTTAAGAAAAAGACATCATGTCTATAAAAACCTTCTCTAATATAAGATGTGTTGCCCAGCCACACTCCCATATTTTAAAAGTTAAACCCTAGACCTGTGCAAAACAAAAATTAATTACTTTAATTACTCTAATATAACTCATTGTTCAATTAATTTTTGGTATTATTTTCCTTTGAGCTTTTTAGTTACATGCTATTTGTGCCTTATAGCAGGAAACTACATCTAGAGACTTCAGAAGCCCTGATCAGTTTTCTCTCTTTCTGTGAGATCCACCAAATGTTCAGTTCTTTGTGCTTAGGTCATTTATTTCATTTGAGGTGCTAGATATAAATACTCTATGCCTTCGAAGGAATCTCCACTTCAAGGTTCTACAAAATATCCTGTGGACAATATTCTGTAAATCATTCCAGCCTAGCTGCGTAAACATGGCTTTAGAAATCAAAGGCACCTTGGCTTGAGAAGTATAACCTAAGAGTAAAAATATTTGTATTTTCATACCATCATGTACTATTGGAATTTGCTATGTTGTCATATCATCATGTCCTATTGGTAATTTTTCCACTCTTAAAAAACAAACTATACCAAAACAAAACTACATCAAAACCACCAAATTCTAAGATTTTCTTACCGGAAAAATTGTCCAGATATTTACCCAGACTTTACTATATGTCATGTATTTCCAATGATGGAAAAACACTTTGATTCTTTTAACATAAATAATGGTTCTAAAATGTATTTAAGTATGTTGTCCTAATAAATGATGACTTCTATAAAAAAAGGAAAGAAAGAACTTGAGGCTTTTATTTAGATCCAGTCTGTTACTGAAAACAATGCTGCCAATTTATTTTTTTTATAACCTCCAGCAACAGAAGATTATTGTGATAAATGATTCATATCGCTGCAATAAACACCTTTCAAAATTTCCATATCTGGCAACTAATAGGCAGTTCTTGAAGGCTTCCATAGGCTCCTCAGCCAGATAACGTGGCTGAAAGCTGCCTCATGATTAATTTCATCTAAATGTGGTAATTATCATACTTTTAAATAATGCCTACAAAACATACTTTCACAGAAAGTTTGTGGAAGCAGAGGATTAACCTAGAAACATTTCAGTTCAGAGCAGCACATCACCCAAACAGAAATGTATTTTCCCCTGAATTTTTCAGGACTTTTTGTTAAACTACTTGGCAGTCGTTTGCATTACCTTATCTCCTATCAACTACTTCACAGTATTTTATAGTGCAACAGAAGCTGAAGCAACTTTGTATTATTTGTCAGTAAAGAGATAGTCTTGGTTTTGCAAGGTAGTTATTTTGGCAGATTCTGCACTGAAGTATTTCTTGTATTAATGTTTAAGAGCACAACTGATTTATCATTCCTATGTGTTGTGGACATAAGCATTATCTTGCCTGTATTCTAGGCACAGTAGAGATTATTAGAGAGGGTGGTCATTTCCTCATGGCCACCCAGGGGAGTAACTTCTATCACTACTCTCTATATCGCTTTACTTCCTGTCTCACAGGACCTCCATGAACCATTTCCTAGTTGTACAGGTGAAACTAGTTGAAAAAGTACATAAGGCCCCAAGTAAGTTTGTAAAGAAGTCTGATTTTTGTACTCTGACAAAAGCCATGAGGTAAAATAACAGCGAGAATTATAACGGAGAGAGAAGCTGTCACTGAATATTTCTGCCCACTTACATCTGCTTAGTAAAGATTCCACATCTTCTCTCAGCCATCAGAAAAAAATCCTACAAAAAAGTGGCACGAAACTACCACCTTAACTGAAGTTGAGACTGAGCAACTTAGTTAAGTCTCTCCAGTAGGCTGCCTGGCCAAGCTGTATTTTGAAATAGCCTAGTTATTTTAACTTTATTTAAATCAACCATGGACAGATTTTTTCCTACTTATACGTGGTCCATATATAGGACTGACTGAGTTTCTTCAGGTTCATAAGCTATTCCATGTTGGCTCAGTTTTGGTAAGAGTCATATGTGTGCTTTTCTTCACAAACATGAAAGAAATACATTAGCTGGAACTTTAATTGAACGTTGGGAAAAGTTTGGAGAAGCAGGGACCTTTCATCCAGGCTGGACTGGAGGGATGACTCGGATTCTCTCTCCCTTCTCTTCAGCTGAAAATATTCCACTTGCTTCGGCATGTGGGAAGTATGTGGCAGCTGGAGTTCTGGCTAGGTGTTACGTGCAGCCTTCCAAGCTAGGCTTCAGTTGTGTGGTCGTCAAGAGCTGTAGGAATGGTTGTCAACAATTGTAAGAAGATAATGCCTTTCATTATACGTCTCTATTCTTCGGCTCCTAGCACACCTTCCCTTGCATTTCTGCAAACTGACGGTGTGCACATTGTGGGCGACCATGGCTCAACTAGTACATGTAAGCCGTGCTAACTCAATCATATGTCAAACCCTCACTTATTACTATATTGAAATCAAACAAAAATGTTCACATTTACACAGGTTTTGTTGCACTTCAGGTTAAACCAGTGCAGCTATGCCATGAAACAAAAGAGAAGTGATTCACTGCATCATTCAAACGCACTTTGCAGCAAATAAGCTGTTCCACCTCTAAAGCACACACTGCAGTTTTCTATCTACCTATGTCCTTCCTAACCGTTTTTATGCATATGTGATTTTTTTTATCTTTCAGATAAAAAAGAAGTTGCTGCATCCAAAGAACTCAAAAGTAAGAAACTACTCTGCCATAGGTTATGATTTCTTTTATGTGTCATGTAGTTTCAAACTGCACATTTCGATAATCCAAAATAATAGTTATTGAATTGTTTAAAACACAGAGAAAGTAGCTACACCATTTATAATTGAAAAATGACATGTTTAGACTTCAGCTGCCTCCTACTTTCTAAATCCATTCTTATTCTTCTTCTAATTCCACACTCAACTTTGTGACTGACAGTTTTGCCTTTGTCTCTTTTCTATCACTGTCTTCAAAAACAAAGGTTTCATGGGGAAGAAAATGTCAAATGAGGTCTTAGCTGAACGTGCTCTCGGTGGCAGCAAGTTTGGTAAATGGACTCAGAAAACTGAGTCCAACATGCTGAGGACCACAAAATTCATCTTCACAAATGCAAAACAAGGGCCCTGACTGTCTGATTACTGCAGATTCAGAGAATTCTGAGGCAGAAAAGAGGTAGGGGCTTGGCTCTGCTGTATAAGTAACCAAAAAATTCTCTGAAAACATGGAACTGTTAGCAAGGGAACTCTTACACCCTTCCTTTTCTACAAATTTGTGAGCGCAACAAAGGATACAAAGTAAGTCTCAACACAGTAAGGACAGTAAGACAGTTTCACTGGTAAGACTTCACATGCTTAGATCTCTGTTCTGAAAGTACGGTATATAAGAAAAATTAGTAAAGCTACGGGGCGTTGAAATCTTATTAAAATTCACAGTTTAAGAATGCACTAACTCCCGCCTCCAAATAAGATCTTTCCAGACCTATATGGCAGAAGAATCCCCCGCCATCCTCAGTTTTGCAGGCCTTTATTGAAAGATTTCTTTTGGCAATCAAGAAAAGCTTACACATTGGTTTCCTACTCAAATTTTGCAGAAACATTGAACGAAAGAGTCAATGGACTTACTTTACAAGCAATGTCCTGTTAATGAAATAACTGCCTGTTTGCAAGCAGGTCTTAAAGGATCTATTGATTTGGGCACATGATTCCTCTCCTGGGAGAACTCCCCAGCAGTTGTTATGGCAAAACATCCCAGCTCCATTGCAGGAGTGAAACTTGCAGGGTGAAATTTTCAGCTCGTAATTATTTATATGAAGATGAATTAAAATAAAAAATAAAATAAAAATAATGTAATATAAAGATGAATATTTCAGTCCTTAACACTGAAATTATTTTTAAATTACAAACTAAAAAGCATATGCTTCCAAAAAAAAGTTTAAAATATTTGGCACTTTTGTTTCAATGTTACTGAAAACTTAAATAAATAGATAAATTACATAAGTTTTTGGTCAAAATTATCCTTTGTTTTAATTTTTTTCCTCAATTAAACTAATTTATTTGCTCAGAAATGAAATATTTCAAATGAAGATAAAAATCTTGATAGAACAAAAAGAATGTGTTTTCACAGATGTTATAAAAAAAAAGAAAAAAAAAATCTTGCTGGCCAGCAAGCTCTAGCTGAAAGCTCAGAAGCAAATAAATGCTGGATTCCTGCAGTTCGGTATTCGGTCCTTCTTGTCATTTATAGAACATGTGTGTCAGATCTTCTGCTTCTACTGCAAGAACAGGCACTCAGGAAAGTAATACTAAGCAAACTCTACTTCAAGGTCTTCTATGTATTTCCCTGAAGGAGGAGTGAGCACCCCAAGTAATTACCATGCAGCGATGATAACTAAGTTAGGATATAATTATCTGCTGCAGACTTTTAAAAGAATGGAAACAAAACAGTCCCACACATGCAAACTATATTTTGTTTTCATTCTGTTACACAAGGCAATCTGATGCTTCTTTTATGAACTTCTCAAAAGACTGGAGGGGAAGAGCTCAAAATTACATTCCTGATTTAGCCATATTCTTTTTCTTTGTAATAACACAGTGACAGATGTGAAGGATTAACTAACATTTTTTTTGCATTTTGTAATTCAGCTTGTGACTAAAATGATTAATTATTTCCTCTCACAATACGGAAATGTGAATTCTAAGTTAGAGGATCTTCTAGTTGATACAAAAAAATCTGTTATGAAAGTTGGTACAGTTTAGTTTATGGATATTTGTTAAATTATTGTGATTTAAGTACAGTCTGTTTTAGTAGTTCCTGAGCATAATAATTATTAACTAAACACTGGTAAAGTGTAAATATGTCCAGTAGGGTAGTTAAGTTCTTCCATCCAGGGCTGAGATTCTCCAAATTTGCTTAGGGATGCACATACCTTTCATCGTTTGGATCTTCATTCTGCAAGGAAAAGTCCTAACTCTGCAAAGAGAGGACAGTGCAAATGTTTCATGAAGAGATCAAGAACAGAAGAACTACAGTTAAGCAGAGGCCTCCCTGAGAGACCCTGTTTCTCTGCTAGGAGAACCCAGTAGTTGCTCTTTCAAGTGCAGGATCAAACATGAAGTTTTAACGCTCCTCCAGTCCTCAGGATGGAGAGAGATTCCTGGTGCAGCTGTGTCTGTGAATGTAGTTTGCAGAAGTAGCCCAATCTCGCTTTTTCTCATGAGGGAGAGATTCAGTTTAGGGGAGAGGATGCCACTCTGAACAGCTGTTGGATCCCAAGAAGCACCACTCCTGAATTCACAGCAGTGAATCCTCACCAGCTGTCGTAGGCTGGTTCAGGACCTGCTGCTCTCATAGCTGCAGATGTGGAGGCTTCCAGCCCATAGCTGCTGCCTGAGCGGTGAGGCCATGTGCCCAAACCCCTAGATACCTGCTTTGCTATGCTTTGCCAGCAGATATTGAATTATTGGACAGAAAAAGATAAAAGAAGCAATTCAGTACCTAATGGCAAGAATTTACTAGCCCTTTGGACGGTTATGTTGCTATCCCTGTGAGTTTACTGAAGGCAACTCAGTTCTTTTGTCTTTGCGTAATCTCTTCAACTCTTCAGTGAAAAAATTGCTTCGGGCTGTACTTCATTATAAGCCTTTCCTCAGATATCTGGATTTTTTAAGATATAGCTCTTTGTAGTAATTTGTTCTCTTTTTTTAAGAGGCAGCAAAAGCTCCTGCAGCCAAACCAGCCACCAAAAAGGCAGCAGCACCAGGTAAAGGAGTAAAACGCTCACACTCGATGTATTTCTTGTATTCTTGAAGCGGTTTATTGCGTCGTAGCACCACCTGCTGGAATACACAAAAGCCACGGTTTGGGGTTTTTTTGTCTTTTTGCTCTAAATTAATGTGATAATTTGCATGTGAAATCCTTGTTAAGACCAGCAGCATTTTGCATTGATCTCTATCATTGTGGTTGCTTGTCCTCGCATGGCAGCTGAAAGGTGCAATACTGGGCCATTCTGCAGGGCTTGAGAGCACAAACTGAATCAGAATCTAAAAACTGATATTAAAAGCAATACTTACAAAAATTAATTTCCATATGCAGCTGTATTCAAGAAGGGATTTGATTTTTCCAAAGTCCTGGTCTCACAGTAGGTATTACAAAAATGGAGCTCTTAGATAATCATAAATATGCACCAAAAAGACAATCAAATTTTTTTAAAAGAAAATAATGGCAGAAATTCATATCCGGATACACAAACTTTTATTGATTTCTGATCTGTTCTGCTTCACAGCCATCCTTTAAAAAATGCCACATCATATTTCTGATGAATATAATAAAACCTAATGTAAGGAATAACAATTAAATACACAGGATATTAACAGTTTTATTGGATTTTAAATTAAGTAACAAAGAAACAGGGAATTTGCATGTGAAAATATGATCAATATAAAAGCATTATATTATTCTACTCCAAAGTAGGGCGGCCATTGCTGCACCAGGCTCTGTGCTGCTGAGCTGTGCCTGGTGCTGGCATTGCAGGGGTGACCAGCCCACTCCCTTTGCTGCTTTCGGCCTCCAGCTGACCCCATGCTATATGGCCATATGGATCTATGTAGATCTGGCATCTTTTCTCTTTTTTTCCTTTAAGATTGTTTTCTGGCTGTCTTCCTCTAATTCAGACCTTTTCAGTAGTCTATCTCAGAGATCTCCTCCACTGAACAAGGGAACAATAACTTGCATCAGTAGGAGAGATTGGAAATCGCTCAAGGATCAGAGCAAGCCAACAACATCTTCAGTTGCCTCTAACACAAAAGGACTTACAGCCTGCAGTTGCAGTCAGTACAGGCTATCATGGGGCATGTTGTACAGCTGTATGGTGTACTGTGTGAAGCTGGCCTAAGCAGCATCATTTCCCCAGCAATGCTCTCAGTCCCTGTCTGCTGTGTTTGTTTGACACCGTGTTCAGTTGTGCTAACACAACTGGGAGAACAGTGTAAACCACACTATTGCCATGGCTTAGAGCTAAAAACTGTCCTAGAAATGTGTGTGTGTGGCAGGGGGTTCAGTTTAGATCATTTCAGTAAGTCAGGCTCCACATACATTTAAATCTGTGTAACAGATAATTTCTTAAAGCAGCTTTGTTGCCAAAATGTGTTGTATAGCTAAACCTTTAGACATCTCGACAGTACACTGCAGAAATCGTTATGTTAGAAGCATATGCTTATAATTAATTCATTCCACCTGCTAGCATCCAATATTTGTGTTCATTTTTGAAAAATATTCCAATGAGTCTTCTTGTTGGCAAGAATGGTGATGACAGTACTCTGCTTAAGATAAAGAAAAGGAGAAAAACTGGCATGGATTATTATGGAAAAATAAAATGAGTTTGTCTGTTCTGACACATTTCTAAATATCTAGTTTGCCTTAAAAGTGATAAAGAGCAGTAGGCATTGACTTCTACATTTTTATTTGCCCTCCCCAAATGGCACTGTTCTCTGAAAATTCATTTACCTCCGGAATAACTCACCATAGTAAAATATTAAATATGCTGGTTTGGCAACATTGTAAGTAGACTAATGTCTATTAGTACAGTAAATTAAACACATTACCCAATTTCATATTTTATTTTCTTTCACATATCTTCGTACGTCACAACCTGTACCCCAGAATGCCTAAAGCTGAAGGTTTAGTCCTATTAACAGACTGAACAGACTGAGAGCACAGCTGGTCATCTTCCAGTGCTTCTACATCACATATGTTCCTGTTCTTAATGTCACTGGGGAAGAAAATCCTGCCTAATGCACTGTGCACTATTTTTATCTCCATATGTTTAGATAGAGAAAGTAAAGAAAGTGAATGTGAAATTTGGAACTCTATGAGAACTTCCGCATCTGGACACTGATGGCTGTTCTAGGAAACCACCCTCAATCAATACCTATCATTACTTGATTTTCAAAGCCGGTATTTTCACGCTTAGCGTTTTCTCCAACTGGAAAAAATTAACTTTCTTGCACCCATCTGAAGCTGGGCTGGAGAGCATGGTATTTGGCTTTAAAGCAGGACAGTTTCATAGATATACGCAAGTGATGCTATTTTGAAGGGAGAAACCAGAGTTGGAGATATTTCATGACATTAGTCTTCTTTAGTTACACTGTCTTCTGATGTTCCCATCCCAAGCCCCACCACCAGTTCCTCTTCTTTCACCAAGGCGCATCACCTCCTCAGCTGTGCCAGCAGGACAGGCCTGAGAGCAACCCAGCCTTACAAAATATCTGTCTATCATTTTTCCCTGAGGAGGGCACAGGTTTCTTCCACAGGATTTTCCCAGGCACTCTGTGCTTGCTAGACATGAAGGTTGCTCAGAGCCAGGAGTGTAGGTGTTGAGCACCCACCTCATGCTGCCACCCTCAGGTGGGGCACAGACACATCACACTTCAGCTTGGTAATTTCGCTGGGTCGGTTTTGGCACCGTGAGGAAAACCAGTGCATGGGGTGCAGGGCAGGGAAGGAAGCACAAGCTCAAACCACGCAGCGCGTGTTTGCAATCAAGTTAGCAGAAGGGTGACCGGGGTCCCCAGCAGGCAGCAAGGAGCCTCTGTGCCACTGAGTCCTGCACGCTCCTTAGCTAGGGCCAGGGCTGGGAACAACTCAGCTGTGAGTCCCTCTCCTGGGATAACCTCGCATTATAGGCAACACTCCTGCACCTTTTTTAAGCATCGGTGACAGTGCTTTCCCCTGATGGTTTGACTGATTTAAAAATCAGATCTAACTCTTTTCAGCACTGTAAAAATTAAATCCTAATTGCAGATTAGAATTTCCCTGGAATGGTCTTGCATTTTTTAATTTAATTTTATGGTATGTTTAACAGATATTCTACTGTCACTTAACTGCATAATTACTGATTTTTAATACCTAATTTTTCCCATCATCCTCTCCACACACAGGCTAAAAAAATCTTATTCATTGCTCCCATTGTGTTCGTAACAGAAACTCTTTTTCAGCACCATTTCCTCCTTGAAAATCAATAAAATTTAGTTTGGACCCAGAAAGAATAAAATGACAGACAAATAGCCAGGTTTAAGCGCTCAGATGACAGCTGCATGCAATCTCTCAAACTGACTCTGTCAGTTGTGCTAGAATTATTATTATTTTATTATGACACTGATTTTTCCACTGTTGGTAAGAGGCAGAAAGACAAAAAAAGGGGGGACGTAATACAGGAAATTATATAGGAAATGAGTTCTTGAGGTAAGTAGAGAATATTAGAACACAGCCTATACTGAAAAACCTGATTAGATGATCGGTTCAAGAGGTTCAGATCTGTCTAATGCAAGATGAATTACTGGTTCTACCGGTAATGGGCAGTATTTACTTAACAGACAAATGATTTTAATTCTTGCTTCAAGGTGAACAACAGCAACTAAAATGGTAGTGAGGAAAAATCTTTGTACTCGCATTATGGTATAACCAATGCTATTCTACTGAAAAAGGAAGAAAGTTTATGGGACAGCAGGTATACTTTGAAATGGAGAAAAGATTTATTAAGGAGCTGGGTTCATTTGTTGTCTTTTAGTAATCGCCTATATGACAAAAGTACATTGAAAGCATGCTAAAATGATGTAAATGCTACAAAATATTAATAAAATTCAGCACATCTACTGAATAATTCACCAGCACAGTGGAACAGGCAAAATTATCATGGATTCTTTTTCTCACAGTCAGGTAGCTCTCTCAAGTCACATGTCAGGGATGTGTTTTAATCACACACCACAACTGTGCAACAATCATCCACCTGCTTCTTATCTTCTTGTGTAGATATGTCACCTAAGAGAAAAGACATCAAAAAACAGTGTAAATTGTATGTTATACAACCCCATGTAAGTACTTGTGGAAAGAGGAAAAAGAGAGGAACAGCGTTTCTTTCTGTTTCTCTCTCACCATACATGGACATGGCCCTAGTAGAGTTTGCCATCCTCCAGTCTCTTCAGAATCTGATGTTTCAGTGCCTCTAGGTGACCTGCAAATTCTCTTTATAAGCAGCCATTGCTCCTGATTAGCATCTCTGTATGTATTTCTGTGGTACAGATGTTACCAAGAAAATTCTTTGGTAGCTGAAAGAGTCTGTTCAGTTTTCTAGTCCCTGATGCTAACCCTCTCAGAAATTTTTGTAGTGTAAGCAGTCATTCTAAGGGCTTATTTTCTGGGTTTAGATTTTAACTCTTCAGACACAAATGATAGAGGTAATCTACTGCATGCATGAGGATAGGTTTTGCAGTTTTTTTCGAGACAAAACAAATCCTCACTCAGGTAGTAGGTGTTTATGCAGCGGTAAAGAAAATAATGAAACCCTACCTATATTAGTCCTGTTGCTCAGGGTCCTTGGGTTTAGGTGCAGGAGCATTCTGCAGCCCTTTTGACTCACAGAGGCTTTTATTTAGGTCCAGGTTAGTATAATTAGTCCCCTATTCCACCTTAACTCTTTGGGAAGTTAAACACCGTATCTGCTCTGACTTATTCAGTTTCCTTCTGGTTTGAAAGGGGTAGTCACAAGCCTGGCTGTCTTTGCACAGAAGGTGTAAATTATCTGATCTCAGTCCCTAGCAGCCTGCAAAAGGACAACAGAAACCAGGTCCAGGTCCTCACCTGTTTATCCCAGAGATCTTCCACCAGGCTTAGCAAAGCCTCACAGCTGACTCTGGTCCTTATCTGCCAGGAATGCACTGTATCCTCAGCAGCTAAAACCTTGCTGCTATTGCCATAGTTCATCACCCAGCTGCTCTTAGTGTCTGCAGGAATCTATTATGTGGTTGGAGATG